CAACTCCGCCTATCCTCACAGCCCCCATCCCCACCCCAAAGGGCCAAAACACATTTCCCTTACTATGACCGGTTGTGGAATGCTGGGGGATGTTCACCCGGAGCTCGGTCCCTACCTCAGATAGAAAGCAGATGAGCTGGCTTAGTAGCCAACGGAGGGGAAATCACAAATCAGGGGTCCAGAGTCAGGTTTCCTCCCTTCCCCACCGTGTCCTTCCTTGGGGCCTCGCCGTACTATCTCCTAGCCCCTGCCCTGGGCTGGAAAGAAGCCCCAGACGGCAGAGTAAGGGTTGCGCTCTCGCGGGCTCTTTAGTCCCGGTCACTGTTTGTAGCGTGCACGCGCGCGTGTGCGTGTGTGCGGCGGGGAGCGGCGGATATCTCAGGGAGGGGAAGTTTGCGGGGAGTGTTCATTCTGATCTTGTGCCCCAGCTTGGATTATCTTATCTTCAAACTGATGACGACGGCGACGACGATGACGATTTTACTTTATGTGATTCCATTCATCTCCCGAAAAATGAAGATAACCGGGGTGGATATTCAGCACAGCCATGCTATGTTATGAAAACGTTGAAATTCTCCCTTATTGGTCAGTAAAGAGCAGCTCTACCAAGCCTCTTGAGCGCCCCCTCCTCACCTCCCCACCGGTGCCTGCCCCGCCCCCCCCCCCCCCCCCCCAGAGATCCAAAGACACCACGGGGGAGGGGGGGCCCACAGGACTCCAGGCCCCTGCGCTTTCTGGTCGACGAATTACTGAACGTCATTCCTGAAGTCGCCATTCCTTAACTGGCAGAACACCAACGGCCCTTGCAAGCGTCAAGATAGGGATTCTGGGCCCAGAAGTTGTGATGTGCAGGACGCAGGACGAGAGGGGCCTTTCCCGCTTTTCCACCCCACGCCTGACCCAACTTGGGAGAACTGGGGACACGCAGCTCCCTGGGGCTCCTCACCTTCCTTGCCCTCACGCTTTGGTTTTGTTCCCTGCTGAAGGGAAAGGACATTTGGGAAGGGCTGTCATTCTGGCTCCACCTTCCCTCCTCACAGCCTTTCCTGAGTGGTGAAGCCTGATGGGAGCAGGGGGAAGGCCCCAGTCTCTTCCCTCAGCCTCCAAGCCGCCTTCTCCTGACAGTCAGCAAGAGTCCCACGAGATAAAGGGGCAGGATACTAATTAATTACTGTCTCCCCCCCCCCCCCCGCCCCGGCTCTGAGCTAAATCCCAAAACCCCAACCTTTCAGAAGCTGAGGCGGCCCAGCTGTCTGCTTCCGAGCCTCCAGAAGGTCACTGGAACCAGCTCTCTTCATTCCTAGCTCAGCAGATTTGGTTCTGGTGTCCCAGACAACAGTCCCACCCCACCTCACCCCAAGGGAAAGCATTCGACAGAGTCAGTGTTCAGAGAACAATGCAACCAGACTAACGTCCCTCCTTCCACACCCTCCAAGGCTACAAATGCCTTCTCAGTTATCAATCCAGCAACCGGGGAGGGTCAAGTTGTCCTGTGCCTCAGCTTCCTTGTGTCAACAATGAACCAATGGTGCAGCCACTCTGGAAAACAGTATGGAGGTCCCTCGAAAAAACTAAAAAGAGAACTACCCTACGACCCAGCCATTGCACTACTAGGCATTTATCCACGGGATACGGGCGTGCTGTTTCAAAGGGACACATGCACCCCCGTGTTGATAGCAGCACTATCGACAACAGCCAAAGTATGGAAAGAGCCCAAATGTCCATCGATGGATGAATGGATAAAGACGATGTGGTATATATATACAATGGAGTATTATGCGGCAATCAAAAAGAATGAAATCTTGCCGTTTGCAACTACGCGGATGGAACTGGAGTATTATGCTAAGTGAAAGTGGTCAGTCAGAGAAAGACAAACATCATATGACCCCACTCATATGAGGACTTTAAGAGACAAAACAGATGGACATAGGGAAGGGAAACAAAAATGATATAAAAACAAGGAGGGGGACAAAACAGAAGAGACTCTTAAATGTGGAGCAGACGGTTACTGGAGGGGGTGTGGGAGGGGGGATGGGCTAAGTGGGGAAGGGGCACTAAGGAATCTACTCCTGAAATCATTGTCGCACTATATGCTAACTAATTTGGATGTAAATTAAAAAAAATAAAATTAAAAGAGAATAATAATTAAAAAAATGAACCACTGGTAATACATAGGCCTTGTTCAGTACACAACACAGATGAAGGGGTTCAGAACAAAGGGGATAAATTAAGCTCATGTGGTCTGGGCTTTGCATTTGGAGGAAGGCAAGGCCCATATCAGAGTCAGGGAAGCTGAGGTCCGTTGTCCCAACCCTAGTGACTGGAGAGAGAAGACAAAGTTCCTGTTCTTTGTCCAATCTGAGCCTTTTTTGTCTCCAGGAAAGAAGAGGGACAAAGCTTCATGATTCAGAGGGGAGACACCTGCTCCACCAGGCTGGCTGCAAGAACACAGGGATAAAAGACACAAACCCTCTTACTTGTAAGCCCGTGGGCCATAGGTCTGGGGACTGTGTGTGACATGCAGCAGGGGCGAGGGGGTACCCACGAATGTTAGTCCGACAACACCTGCCTAGGTGCGGAGATGCGGAAGGGCGGCCGCATACAAACTGCTTACCGCCTGGGCCTTCTCGGTTGCTGTTGGCCAGCACCTCACACACAGTAGGAACGGAATGGGTGATGGCCGTGGTTGCAGAGGCAGTGGGAGGAGTGGACGTGTGCCATTGCACTTTGGGAGCTGGAACTGTGAGTGAGAGAGGCAGGAGGGCTCAGCTTCCGGTCCCTCTCGCTGGGGGATGTGAAGGCAGGTTCCATATGCTCCGGGGCCCCCTCCTCGCCTCCCCGCTCCCAACTGGCCGGCCCATGCTGATAAGAGTCTAGGAAGCAGGGGCTTTGTCTGGGGGAGAGGAGAGCAGTAAATCAATGGGAGCAGAGAGCAGGGGCCTGGACAATTGCTTCTGGGGGGGAGGAGCCCTCATCTCAGGGAGGCGCATGGAGCAAGGGGGGGCAAAGGCAGGCGGATGGCAGCAAAGCTTTAGTGTTAGCATCACCCCTCACCTGCCCTGGGGGAGCCAAGCCGGCCTCTCCCCCCAGGGAGGGCTCAGCTGCTCATCTCTCCTAGACTGGGGGACACAGATGGATTGTGGGAAATTCCGAACACCTCCTTCTGCTGGGAGTGAGGAGTCTGGAACTTCCCATGTGCTTGGGGAGCTTGCCAAGGGCTCTGAGGGCAGAGGCATCTCCCCAGATTGCTGTCTGCTGTAGGGAGGATCCAAAGTGATCCTGGGAACGCAGGCCACCAGTGGAACGGGCCAGAAAATGGCTGTACCTGGGGAAGGTCATTGCCGTCTTCCCCCTCTGTGGACTGAGGACAGCTGTAGAGTGCTCCCCCTGCTATCCCAGAGAGGAGAAGTGAGATATAGAAAGGAAAGGACTTAGAGAACTATTGAAGAAGGCTGTCCCATAGAGTCAAAGAATGGAGAGTGTGTGGATTAACCTTACGGAAAAGGGTGAGGGCAGTGGTTTCCCCATCTGTAACAAAGTGACACCAGAGATGTTAAGTTAAACAAGATCACATGTTGGAAGCACAGAGGAAAATGCCTGGCACATGATCATTCCTTGGCAAATTGCTGAAGTTATAATCATTAATAGATTAAAGGGATCACATAAAACCAGTAGCATTCTTCTTTTTTTTTTTTTAATTTTTTTTCCACGTTTATTTATTTTTGGGACAGAGAGAGACAGAGCATGAACGGGGGAGGGAGACACAGAATCGGAAACAGGCTCCAGGCTCTGAGCCATCAGCCCAGAGCCCGACGCGGGGCTCGAACTCCCAGACCGCGAGATCGTGACCTGGCTGAAGTCAGACGC